CCTCATCTAATACCTGTTGGAAACAGGAGTTGAACTAGAACCCAGATGCAGTTGGAGAGGACAAGACCAGGCAGCAGAAACACATAGAGACAGCTTACCTGAACAAGGAGGAGCTAACAGGCCACCAGACTGATAGCTGGGAAGCCAGCATGGGACTGACTCAGGCCCCCCTGAATATGGGTCTCAGCCAGAAGGACTGAGCAGTCTAAGGAACCTCAGACAGTGGAGCCAGGATGTATCCCTGGTGCACAAAAGGACCTATCGAACACATTCCCCATGGAGGGATAACTGCCTTAATCTAGAGACAGGAGAGAAGCCCTAGTCCCTACTTCACATGACCTGTCAGATCTACATGACCCCAACTGGATGGCATTCCCCTACATATGAAATTGGGGTGGGGGGGATGGGAAGGGAGGGTGTTTAGAGTGCATGTTAGAGGGCAGAGAAGGTAAAAGGGAGGGAATGAGAGAGGGAGAGGGAACTGGGATCGACATGTAAAATAATAAATTAAATTAAAAAAATGCTGACTCCAAACTTTAAGTTCAAGGACAAGTTACTGGGGAAAAGGATTTCTATTTTTGTTTCCACAGAAAATGAAAAGCTGTGGATTCCTTCCAGACTAATGTGGTTTGATCATGCCAGAACACTTGAAACAGAGTACCAGGTGATCCTACATACAAAACAGCTGGACAAAGCAGCCTTACAGACTACAGCCAGGATTTCTGCATCTTCTTAGAATCCCCTATGACAGCGCCCCTTACCAGCAGGAATTAGTTAGAATAGAACGACACCCAAATTTCCAAATATTGTCTATAAATGTTTGTTTTCATTTAAATGGACTTGGTTATATAAAATAAAGAAAAATAACATATCCAAGTAATAAAATGTCACTGATTTTTATTGTTATTATAAAAGTGAGCAACACAGAACAGTCAGAGAGTGAGCTATCTGACACTGCATTTGAGATCTTACTGCATCCATATGTGGCTGGATGGAAGTGGTTACAATTCTCAGTGAAGTCTTAGAGTGCTCATCAGGTGTTTCACAATTTCACGTAGTTGTTTCATTTTTGAAAACAGTTGCTCATCATTGTAGGTGTCATAAAAGCAAAGAGTGGGGCATGACTATGAAGTGAGAAATACATGTTTCTTGGAAAACAACACCTGTAAAAATCCAAGAAGGAAACACAATTAAAATTTTCTTTTATTTGGATGTCTGGCTGCAGCTCTAAGCAGTTTGAAATTGGCAGGCAACATATCTACATTGACTGAAAACAGAGTTGGAAATTTACCAAAATATTTTTTGAGGAATCTTGAAATCTGTTTCACATACTTTAATTTTATTTATGTATTTATTTGATTTTATGTGTTTGAATGTTTTGACTGCATGCATGCATGGGCACCATGTATATGCCTGGTGCCTTTGGAGGTCAGAAGATAGCACAGGGTCACCTAGAAATAGTTACAGATGGTTATGAGCTACTATGTGTTTACTGGGAACTGAACCCAGGCGGTCTGCAAGAAAAATGATTAGCCTTCTCTCCAGGCTCTCATATTCTTCTGTGAAATAAATAAGCTACATTTTTTGTTGTTGTTGTTGACAAGGGCCATGCTAGTGAATGTGTCAAAAGGGACAAAATTGTTTGCCTTAATTTGAGAGTACCATGATTTCACTTTCATTTAAAATTTTGTTATGATTTGAAATATTGTATTGTTAAATTGGGTTTCACTTTAAAGAAAACATAACACATTTAAATTATGGGTGACATTTATTAAGAATGCTAAATCTGTATGGTAGTTTTCATAATCAAGTTCTCACATAAATTCAGTTTTGAAACCATAAACAACTTGATAACATGCTGAAATGATATAATTCCTTTTTATCATTTGACTTTAACTTAGTCATCTTATTTGTGGAAAGTCCAGGATGTTGCTCAAGTCAGCATCAATGTTTTAGAGGAATTTCTAGGATTGTTAAGGACTTTTATTGCCCATCATTTATAGAACCCATGGTTTTGACGATTTGCATAACATACATTTGTAATGCTTTTGTGCATAAAATTTCTTGATGTGCTGTGTAATGATACTTCATTAAATGTGAGTTCAGAGTGGCATTTGCACCACCTATTAACATTTTCAAAGGTGTCTCTTTCTTTACCTACCAATAATGGGGCATCAGCCATAACAGATGTTGATACTGGACAAAGAAAATGGTTTAACATATGTTTTACTGCTTCATATAAGTTTCTTGATATAGTGTGTCTTTTAAGGACACTAAATAAACTAATTTTGAATGACATTGCATTTTTCATAAAGGCCACTAATAGAAATGGCAAGAAAATAGAAAGCAAGGATTGGGTTCTTTGACATTTCAGATGTCTATGAAGAGCGAAGTCGAGAGCTAATTAAGGCACTGTGGGTGATGCATGATGTGCCTCTAAGGTGTGGGAGTACTTAATACTTAAGAATACTTACCTAGGACTGGAGAGATAGATTAGAGGTTAGGAGCTCAAAGGTTGGCTGCTCTTCTAGAGGTCCTGAGTTCAATTCCTGACGATCACATAGTGGCTTGTAACTATCTATAATGAGATCTGGTGCCCTCTTCTGGCATGTAGGCATATATGCCGGCAGATCACTATATACATAATAAATAAATACTTAAAAAAATGTTTACTTGTCTTCTAAACACACACACACACACACACACACCTCTACCTCTCATTTTAAAGGGAATAAGATGATGGGAGATGTCATTCTGTAAATATGTTTCTCATACTGGTTAATGAATAAAGCACTGTTGGCCAATAGGAAAGCAAGAGAGGAGGGACTAGGAGACAAGGAAGAAAGAGGAAGGGATAAGGAAGAGGCAGCATGGTGAGACTGGGGAGATCAGATGCAGGCCCCATTCCCCGGTAAGATAAAAGCATGTGGAAATATGTAGATTAACAGAAATGGGTTAATACTTAAGACAGAGCTAGCCGATAAGAAACAAGTACCTGGCCAACAGCATTATATCAAATACAGAATCTTGGTGTGTTAATTGGGGCTGTCGCGGCGGTAGGCGGAAAAACCTTATTCCTTACAATAAGAGATAATTTATTCTGAAGCAATGCTGAGTGCTGAGAGCCTGGGAACACAGATTTAAGTTATTCCAAATTCTATGTTTCAACATGGAAAACATTTACATAGTTTTACAGAATAAAGTAATGAATCAAGGCACATCAGAGAGGTGTTTACAAGAGGAAGGGAACTTTTCTACAGGCCCGAGATGCTATCTGATGAGTTTGGGGCTGGTGGAAGCCAGTGGTTGACTAAGTTAATAGAGTCCAAAGATCTCTATATACTAGCCACAGGATGTTAATTCAGAGGAAAAGGTGGACTAGCTCAAGATAAGGTAATTAACCTTAGGAGAGATTATTTAGTTCTAGATAACCAACCTCTGCTGTCACAACTTCTTTCCAGGAGGTCTTTTTTCTTTATTTTATGTGCATTGGTGTTTTTCCTGCATGTATGTCTGTGTGAGGGTGTCACATCCTCTGGAACCGGAGTTACAAACAGTTGTGAGCTGCCATGTGGGTGCTGGGAATCAAACCAGTGTCCTGGGAAGAGCAGCTAGTGCTCTTATCCACTTGCACCATCTCTCCAGACCTTTCCAGGAGTTCTTGCTCACACACCTATTACATGCAATAAAACCTCATTGATAAATTGCATTTCACTTTAAGCACGGGTCAACCAGATGATGCCAAATCAACTGCCTGTACTTAGAAGGTAGCACACCAGAGACTGGACATTACAGTAACAGTGAAGCCACACACATGCACCAATATCAAGAGCAGTGTGGCATGACGCTGTGTAGTTGTTTTTTACTCTTTGTTCTTTTGAGGGGTTTATTCTTACTTATAAATGTCAACTCTTTATTAGACCACCAGGTGTTTTAGACAGGCAAAGAATCACAGCTTCACAGATGCAACATAAACAAAAGCAACACATCTTTTCAACATTAAACAAATGTTTCACAGCATAAACAAAATTAACACATCTTAGACTAATATTCTACAACAACATTGTCATCTACAAAGTTTACACTCCAGAATCTACCAATTAAGTTAAAAAAAATCACGAAAGTTCTCATCATGTTTTATAAGGAGTAGGTTGGACAGCATTCATAGTGTTGTTCTTTTGCTGGGCAGCAAATGCCTATAAAACACAAACACGAGACTCAGCGCCCACGTGGAGTTTATTGAGAGAGGGGAGAGAAAGAGGGGATAGCTGGTGGCCAACTGAAAGCAGGAGAGAGGGAACAGAGAGAGAGAGAACAAAGAGAGAGCAAAGAAGCAGAGAGAGGCAGAGAGAGAGAGAGAGAGAGAGAGAGAGAGAGAGAGAGAGAGAAGCACTTGGCGCGCTTGCTTTAAAAGAGGCTTGCACATGCGTAACTGAGTCCTCTGGCCGCAAGGTAAAGCTGACAGAGCGATGACATGGCCATGAGCATCCCGCCCATGAGCATCCCACCCATCGTTGGGGCGGGGGTCAGCTGGCTACTAGTTCCTAACACATAGCTTCCTGGTTTGGCAGCCTGGCATCAAACCACGTTTTCATGAAAGTAGATCTAGTTTAGCATTTTGGGTTTTGTAATGCACACGTTCCCTCCTTGGCATTTCTATTCTTTCTCTCTGCTCTCTGCTCTCTGCTTCCCTTGGGTCAGACAAGTTCAGAGATCTGGCTAAAGGGCAGATCCTTATTCAGGCTCGCACATTTCTGAAGTGTTGTTGCTGTTCCTCTGACATACTTTGGGTTTAGAATTGGGGAAAGGATCCAAATGCAGGATTTGGAGACGGTGTCCTGGGTTCAAATGTGAATTATTTCTTTTACTTGAGTGTTCCCGAAGGCAGGATAACCTTATTTGTAAAATAAGTACTTCCCACAGCTACTATGCCAGACAGAATCAAGTCGTGTAGCCAGATCAAGATCCTCCGAGGGGCGGGGCTAAAGCTGGGGGCGGGGCGCTGACCGTGCGCGTGCACTGTCGAGGAGCGCAGTCATCAGGTAAGAACCTGGCTGTGTGTCCAGCGCCTATAGGTCTCCAGTGTGGGGCGCGTGGGGTCTTGTGACATTCTTGAGTCAGGGGAGAACACTGGAACGAGATTGTCCCGTTGGCGCAGGGGCGCGGGGCAGGTGCGAGCGTTTCCGGGTCGCCGAGCGCCGCGGCGCCTGCTGGGACTTCGACCCCGGGTAGGGCCAGGCGCTAGCTGTTTGTTGGAGCCATCTCTGGCAGCAGCTCCAGGTCGCAGCATTGCCCGGCTGCCTGGCCTCTCTTACCCAGAGCCCACCCTGGAGGATACACAGGGCTATATCGCCTGCACCGGTCTGGCTTCTCTCACCCCGGGCCAACTATAGAGGACATGCAGGGCTGCTGCGCCTGCCTTTCAGTGCTTTGGTCTCCCTGGGGCATTTTGTCTGCACAGGTGTGTCCCTGGTGACTAACGGGCTTTATTATGAAGTAGAACCCTTCAGAAACGCAGGGCCTTGGAATGTAACACCTCCTCCTCCTTTTTAAGTAAATGTAGCATTACGCAGCGCTATTCGAACTGTTTGAAATCTTAGCATCGCTCTCTTCCAATCAAAAAAGGTTTTGCCCAGATTAAGCTATGGAAGGTTGTGGGCAGATGTGTCCTCTCCTCACCCCAATCCTGGAACATTAAAAACGGCCCTGAGAACTTGGTACTTTACATGACAGTCAGTGATGCAGAGTATTGGGAATAGAGGAAGACAGCCGTCCTTCCTTCGTTTTTTAAAATGAAAGTAATAAAGTTTAAGTCTTTGGTCCCTGAGTAATCCATTAAAATGAAAAAGGAACGTTGGAGGAGGGACACTTGGTAACATAGTATTCAATTACCTTTACAGACAGGCACCTTGAAAGGGAGGTAAAGGCAGCTCAGATGGAGGGACTGGCTGACTATGGACATTATACAACAGCCCGTCTCAGTATTGAGGACAGTGGGAAAATACATATAGAGATAAAAGGATCTAAAAAGATCAGTGGTCCTTTTTTTCTTTTCTTTGAGGTTATAGGAAATCAGGGTAAAATCCGGGCTATATTCAATAAGTCAAATGCTTATTTGCTGTATGTCTTCCTTCAAAGATACCTCCTTTTGAGTGTTGGAGACTGAACTTGGGACTCATGCTAATAGCTCACATTTTTCCATACTGGGAGGGAAGATTTCAGTCATTGTAGTTTTGGCATTTACTGGGCCACCAGCCAGTCAGCTATATCTCATCATGGGCTGGGGGCTTGTATAAAATCTGGAATGACTCAAAGAGGTAAATTACTGGGGTGCCCACTCTAGGCTTGCTGAATCAAAATCTGGGGAGTGGGAAGCAGACTGCAGTCTTAGGGATGTGCACTCCTTTGGGGATGGTACAGTTGAAATGTTCCAACAATCAGAAGAGGTGTGCCTAAGGGGACAGGACCTATTTCACATCTATCTAGGAAAAGCATGAACTGTGATGCCATTTAACAAAATAACACTCGTCCTTGTAGGGCATTTTGCAAAAGGGCTTTCAAATGCTGTTCCTATTATTAGGTTGTATTTTAATTCCTAGGTTGCCTAGAAAGTTTATCTAACCTACTTCCCCATTCTGTATCAGACACTAAAAAGCCTCACTTCCTCCATTCTTGCTTTGCAAAAAGGTGTAAGTAGTCTCAGAATTTCTGTGCTTTTTCCTGTCTTGGGTCCTTGGTTTATCACACTCCTAAGGCATAGAGATTGGAAATTGTATGTAGGAACATCTAAAATATGCATAACTTTGGGTCTCATACAAAAAGCACTGAATCTGGGAATGGAGTTCTATATAGACAAAACCACATAAGTTTAAACATGTTCATTTGTATTAAATTTAGGATGGCTCGAACCATGGAACCGCTGGCAAGGAAGATCTTTAAAGGAGTTTTAGCCGCTGAATTTGTGGGTGTTTTTGGAGCTTATTTTTTATTTAAAAAGATGAACTCAAGCCAAGGTAAACACAGCTCAGTAGTTAATGTTTTCTAGCTGGGTATGTAGTAAATGCTGGTTGCATTTCTGGGCAAAATGTTTCTTCAGGTTGAAACCATTAGACATTTTATGGGTAGGACAGGGGGAGAGGGAGGTATTCGTTATTGTAGAGTAGGTGAATCACATCAGACTTGCAGACTAGGAGCCTGAGTTTTACTGGGGAAGGGTAGAACAACTGTCCCTATTCTGGCTCAGAATTGAAAAACCCTGCAGAATTGAATGGAGGCAGCTTGGCCTGCATTTTACTTAATTGTTTGGTATTCCTGGGAAGAGCTAACACTGGCCTCAGGTCACAGAACCACTTCTCAGCATTGGCAGTAGGCACTGAAAGTTTTCCCTGCTGTTGCTGAATACAGTGTTAAATTTTGTTAAATTTTATATTACAGCTCTCAGCTTTTAAGATTAGCAATTACCATTATATGCTTCTCCAATTAAAGCAGGGAACCGCTCTGAGGTATTGACTTGTCTTTAAAGCTTGTCATTTGTCTTCCTCAAAATACTTCATTAAGGACACTGTTCCCAGGTGCTTGTGGATGTTCATAATCTTTAAAGGAAATAGAGTATAAAGGCTGTATTTTAAGATAAATGTAATTTACATCATATCCTACAAGATTTAGTTCTTGGATTAGCAGAGGGGCCTTAATAAAAAATTTTAATAGACATTAACATACTAAATTGTGGCTCAATATGTTAAATGTATTTTTTTTTTTTTTTGTATCAGATTTCAGGCAAACAATGAACAAGACATGTCCCTTCATTTTAGAAGGTATGTTTTTCTTCAACTAAAAAATCAAGTGCAAAATAGCCTATAAAAGGACTGGAGAGATGGCTCAGGGGTTAAGAACACTGAATGCTCTTCCAGGGGACCCAGGTTCAATTCCCAGCCCCCACACCACATGGCAACTCACAACTGTCTCTAACTCCAATTCCGTGGCAAAATTCCAATGCATATAAAAAGTAAATAAATAGCCTATAAAATCTGTGGTACTTTTACAGTTTTGTTTCCATTTTCCAACACTAGTTGCCTCCTGAGGGCACAGTAAGGACTCCTAATTACTTATATGAGAACAGTTAGTGCTTGGTTTAATTCTTATTCTTCTTCTGTTGACCAAACCCCAGGCTTTAAAATGCTGGGGAAGACGTCTAGTCTATCACTGAGAGCCTTAATTCTTTCAGTGGCTAAGAACATAAATTCCAGAATGAGACGTAAGGTGGTGATGGAAACAACCATGGCTTAGGTTACTGTTGTAAAAGACTTTTCTCAGGCATACTGTTTCTTTGGAAAGAGCTAATGCCTACCTCATAACAGTAGAGGGTTGAGCAAGACCACATCACACTTACCTTACTCAGCAGAGTACCCAGCAGGTGCCTGAACAGCTCAACACTGCTGGGAATTTGGAGCCCTGTTGTCCTTTTCATTTTGTTATGTAGCAAAGTAGAAGAACTTTCTCAATGTAAGTTTAAGTTTTGCATGATTTTATAAATGACAGCATTTTGTTTCTATAGTTTATTACAAATCCATTGAACAGTCTGGAATGTATGGAGTTAGAGAGAAAGATCAACAAAAGTGGTTGGATAGCAAAAATTAAGGGTGAGTAGCATCTCAGTTTATTATTAACTCTGACGCTCATTTCCTTTGCCCTCTGGATTTTTGAGGGATTTTCATCTTCTTTTTGAAATTTTTCTTTTTCCTGATGATACTTTTCACATCTCTGTTGTGTAGCCAATCATCACGCTCAGCTTCCCACTTGAGCTGTTTGAAACCTTTGAGGTGAGAAGAAAGATGAGTCTTTGCCACTGTAGACTGACTCCCACAAAGTCCAAAGTTATAACTGCAACTTCAGGCCCACTGTGCAAGCCCACTGTCAGTTGCTCTTCTTTAAGATGAATATTTTACAAATAAAAGAATATGGAAGGATTTATACTGAAAAGATTTTTCTTTTCTATTTTTATGAAAGAATAGAAACTAATAACATCAGAAATACTTAAAAAGGTCTTCAAGTATACAAGAATAAATGTTTAGTCAAGTCAAAATAAAACAGACTGACTCTCCAAGGGAAAAATTATGAGACTGTAGTTAGTGTGGTTTAAATATCTTACTCTGTGACAAGCCAGTTTTCTGCTACTTAAGAACATCTACAAGGAAATACCACTTAAAAAACTTGCCTGACAAATTCAAAGTGACCTGGCAGTGCACACTTGTAATCCTAGTGGGAGGTGGAGGATCAAGATCTCAAGGCCAGCCTAGGCTACATAGTAAGTTTAAGGAAGAAGCCTGAGCTACACAACACTCCACTGGGGGACAAACTAGTTTACTTACTTGCATTATCTTTGTTAGCCATGGCATTCATGCCAATATTATCAAACTTGGATCCCATGTTTTCATCCAACAGATGGCCAAACTTAAAGAAAGGAAAAAAAAAAAAAAAAAAGGGTGAGGAAGGTTATGAGAAAACCCGAGAAGTTGAGAAGAATGTAAACACTACCCTCTTAAGCTGGTGCATTACCTCTTCAGCAGAGACAAACAGGCTGGAGTCATCGAAGCTTTTCCTTTTCTTCTGTGTTCCTAAAAACAAACATTGTGTGTGGGTTAATGAAAGTGTGTGCCTATTTTCCAGATTTGGCTGCTGTTCAGAATTTATCCTCACAAGAAACAAACAGCATCACTCAGGATCAAAATTCCACAGCTGACATGGATGGAGTTTGTAACATGTGAAGCAAAATATAAATTATAATTTAGGTCTTATTCTTTGGGCTGGAAAAAGCTGACTGAAGTAGGTTTATTGTGTTATCAATAAACTTTTGTTTGTGCAACTGAAAAGAAAAATGTCTATTAAAAACTCACAGTTCTGAATGTATAAACATTTCAAGAAAGTTACAGTGGTAGAATGGTTAGGGCTCATACGCCACTGGACATTATAAACTTGACTGAAAAGATCATCTAAAGACACTCAAACATAAAAGGAAGGGACTTAGAACAAAACTAAGGAAGCATGTGAGAAATGGCTTTCCATGATAAAAAATCCTATTATCCACCTTTCTTGATGGGGGAGATGGTTTAATCTCACTAGCCTTACAAGTGAGATGATCAGGGTCCAGATCTCCAGAACCCTTGTAAGAACCTAGTGCAGTGGCTGTAGTCTCAGAGATGGAGAGACAGGAGTCAAAGGCAGATGTGTGCCTAGGATCCTCATGGAGCAGTCAGCCTGGCCTACATGGTGAAATTCCAAGCCTATGAGAGACCTTTATCTCAAACACAAGGTGAAAGGTGTCTGAGAACTGATACTTTAAGGAAAAAAAAAAAAAAAAAAAAAAAACCTTTAAATGGTATCAAACCAACTTTTAGACATGTATTTCTCAAAATAGTAACTAATAATACTATTGGCAGCTTCTATGGTTTCAAGAGATTTTTCTTACCTTGAAATGATCCAGCAAAGTCAATATTATCTTCATTCTTTCTCTTGCTATTTTTAGTACTGGCTTTGGAGCTGACTTCACCAAATTCTGTTACCCAAAAAAAGATTACTATTAAGCCATTTTAAAAATAAGCCTGGAAAACACCAATTCGATGTCTGCTATAGTCTAGTGCAACAGTAAGTTCTGATATGCCTGTTCCATCTGGGTTTGGAATCCTGTAATCCTAAAAGAATGGGCCTAGAAGATACAGGATGCTCCAGCCTCTTGAGAGTGCCTGGTTTAGTTTGCAAGAACATAATTTACTCAATGACCATTAATAGGTACTTGGGCACTTGTGTAAATAAGAAACATCTGCTGCTGAGGTCTAGCAGAAGCAAGAGGGTAGTGAAAGGACAAGAGGCAAGAAACAGTCCAAACACACACCTGTGGTTGCTCCCTTATCATTTATAGCTTACATTATTCATCTTTTTCATTTGTGCTACAGGACTATATGAATATTGACTTTTTGGGAGGTAGGTAGACAACTCATCACTCTTCCTCTTCTTTGGTAGTGCTGAGGCTCCAAATAGGACTTCATGAATTCTAGGAAGCACTCTACTACTGAGCTATACCACCAGTCCCTTACATTAATGTTAAAGACAGACAACATGAAAGAAGGGCAACATGATAGTTCAACTAAATCTGCTATAGAATGACACTCTTGATTAAAATTAAAATCAAACACTGACATATGTGTCTTACTTTGGATATAAAAACATTTAAGAACTAGTCTAGGAATTAGCAAGAAAGCTATTAATTTGTGGTTTATTTTTTTCTGGGTTTTTGAGACAGGGTTACTCTGTGTAGCCCTGGCTATTCTGGGACAAGCTCTGTAGACCAAGCTGGCCTCAAACTCACAGAGCTCTGCCTGTCTCTGCTGGGATTAATGGCCTATGCCACCATGCCTGGCAGTTTATGTATTTTTAAATACGTATCTGGACCTTCTTCAATTTCATCATCTGACACATCCATGAATGTTCCTCCATCTTCATCAATGTCAAAGTCTTCATCATTCATACTTCCTAAAGAAATTTCATCATCATCCAGGTCACCCAGCTCATCATCACTACTCTCTGAATCTTCCAAGTTCTCCTTAGCTTCTTTTGTTTTTTTCATATTGCTGGAAAACAAACAGACTCCAAACTTGTAAAGAAAGGCAGTGCTTTCTCAAGTGCGCTCAGGAGACTAAGATACACTGTTAAACTATGTAAAAGAACTGCAGACTGTTCAAAGCATTCTAAAGGTCCAAAATAAAAGTCCCAAACTCACATAAATCACATAGTTTCTATGGTCTCTTGTTCTGATGAATACTTGGGGAAATACTAGGAAAATAGGAAAGAGAAAGTTGAGTTTTACCTGGCAAAATCAATATCAGCTTTCCCAGATGCGAAGCAGTTATCATCTTCAAATGTGTCTGCCCGAGAACAATATACAAATTATAAGAGCTAGCAAAGGATAGAGAGATAGACATTATACCCCATCAACTATAAGGTAGAATCAGGGTTTCACAACAGTAGAATGATGTCATTAGGACTACTCCTGGTGTGTCTTACAGACCTATAAGCTCCATGAAATCTCTAAAGTATACCTTCAGTGTTTATATTTTACTTAGTGTAGGATATAACAGTGACATCAATGTTAAGTCCTTCCATTTTATGTATTTTTCATTTGATTACATTTCAATGAAAAATTCCCAAGCTCTATGGATTATTAAGATGAAAACAAATAGCAGACCATTGCTACTAACAGATTATGAACAATAAACAGTCTCTGTCCTGTCAGAGACTTGGTCTTAGGAATGATATACTTTTCTTGCAAATAGAATATTCTTACATATTGTTCAAAGCAGAATAATGTATTTTCTAGAACAAATATGAGCAAGTTACTACAAGCTATCTCTCAAGTCTTCCACTATAATCTTAGGACCAATAGTTTCTAAAAACTAAGTTCACTTTTACCACTAATGTTCTACATTCTATTAACAGTAATAACTTTACAAATTGAGTCAACAAAATCAAATTACCAATCATATTTTCAAATTCTTCATCATCAACATCTTCTATGCTACCTTCATCTGCATTGTGTTTGTGTTTCTCTTTAACAACAGCAACTTTCTTATAATACCTAAAATAAAACGCATATTACATGTGTATAATTTATGACTAGAGACAAATTACAACTCTGAAAGTGTGTTATTGGACACACAAATGAGTAAAAACAAACAGTAAAATAACTGAATACTAAAAGGTCCAACCTCAACACTATCCATGTATGAGAATATAATGGTTCTATATGACCTCAAATCATGACACCCAATATCACAGTAAAACTTAACACTCTGCAGATGGCATCACACCCACAAATTTAAATTAAATTAAATCTTACTAACTAGTCAACCTTGTACCAATAGCATCAGTAGTAAGTTTTGAGCTCACTACAGCTTCACAGTTAACTTCATTAAATCTGTTTGAAGGGTTGTGATCTAAACAAGTTATTTCTGAGTTACTACTATATTAAAACAACACAGATAAAGACTACAAAAGAATCACTACTTAATAATAATAAAAATAACCCAGGTGTGGTAGCACCACAGGATCACAAGTTGGGCACCAGCTTGGGCTATATACAGTTTCCAAACAAACAAATGCCTCAAGTTCCACAAAGATTCAGAAGCCAAAATTTATATACTACATTATTAAAATCCTCAAGCTGACAAATTTCACTAAAATACTGAGTAGCAGAATTAGTATTTTAAATTTTTTTCAAAAAAGAAATGGATACATAATCTGATCTTTTCAAAATAGTCTAATATCAATAAAGCATTGTATCAAATATAAACACTTGGACAGTCCCCAAAATGCTGTACCAAGTAAGTATCTTACCTGTAGAAAAACACTTCATCCACTGGGATCTGGCTTTCTTCTTTCGCAAGGAACTCTTTACTATTCACTGTAGAAATGAAGCATTTTATTAGGACCATTTCCCTGTGCTACTCAAGCTCTTAGACTATATCTAACACATTGGCAGCTCTGAAATTTTAAACAAACAATGATAGAAAGAGGCCCAGCAGTGTAAAGGCATGTCTGCAAGTGTGTGCACAAGTCTCAACAGCCCAGACCTGGCTGTCTGTAAATAAGAACCGATAGGACATAAGCACAGTGGAGGAACAGAATGTCTTATTCTCCAACTGCACTCTAGAAAAGTTTCAAGAGAAATAGAATCTAAAAGATTTACTTATATGTATGTGTGGACATGGGCATGTAATTGCATGTGTCTGCAGTAGCTACAGGTGCTGGATCTCCCTAGAGCTGCAGTTACAGGTGGTTGTTAAGACATCCAGTGTGGGTGCTGAGAAATCAAACCTGGGTCCTCTCCCAGAGAAGAAGTGCTCTTAACCACTGAAGGCCTCAAAGAGTTCTTCTGAAGTTGCCAACCCAACCCTACTTCTTGCTTTGTTTTTGAGACCAGGTCTTCTGTGGCTCAGGCTGGCCTTAAACTTTAGTGTAGTAACCAAGGATGACCCTCAACTCCTGATCTGCCTGCTTCTACCATCCATAAGCATGATTATAGCATAATCTGGTTGTCTCAGAAGAAGAGTACAATAAGGCTTGTAATTCTAAAAACAGGAAGTCATCAACAACAGAACTTTTCATAATTTTACTTATTCCTGAAAAAACAAAAAACAAAACAAACAAACAAACAAAAAATTCAAGGATATTAGCTTTTCTTCCAAAGAAGAATTTTAATTTCTCACATGATTTAAAGATTTGGCTTACAATTCTAATAAACTGGGAGGTTGGGTGGAGATAACTAGAACTTCTAATTTAATTCTAATTTCTGAGCATGAAGAAAGGTCATGGCACGTGAACAGATGTACTCTGAATAGAGAACATTGGTATCAAATACATGCATAGGAGGATGCTACCTACAAGACAATAATGCTGCATGAAGAAGTCAGCTGTGCAATTTTTGTTTTCCTCAGCCAGTTTTAGAAGAGGCTAAGATGGTCTGAACTGTGAAGGCTGGGGAATGGCCGCCAGAGGGGTTCATAGTCTTTATGAATATGCTTGAAATCTTTATTATGATAAAACAGGTCAAAGAATATAATTTGTGTTGTTCTGTCTTTTGCTATCCTTTTGTTTTCAACTGTCCAGGCTCTATGCTTACCAGCAAGATTACGGACATCCTTTATAAAATGTTTCCTTTTCGGCTGCATCACAACACTGTCGGTATTTTCTGAAATGCAAATCATGACAGTCTAATGTAGTTGTATGTTCACTTATTCACTAAAACCCAGCAATAAAAAAAAAGTTATTAAATAGAAGCATACCTTTGCCTT